GCCAAATGTGACCCCAAATATAAAAATTGTGCAAAAGTGGGCGTGAGCGCTAACGCGGTCGAGTACGGTAGATTCATGGAGATAAACTCAATATATCCCCAAAAAATTTAGCTTAATTGTGTGAAATGTGACAAAAATTGACTTTGGCCCTCAAAATGTTAATAACAAGCAGCCTGTCGGCTGAGATAGCTCCGCTGTTAGCAATGCACATTTCAATTAAGAACTGAAGATATCATTAGAAAATGAACAATATGTATAGTATCAAAGCAATCAGACTTGCTGTTTTCAACAAGAAGTCAAAAATATAAGTTTTTACCAAAAAAGACAAAAATATTCATTAAAATTAGAGAATTGAAAATATCATCATGAAATGAACAAATCTGGGAGAGGTCTACCTGTAGTACCTATATATATATATAATATCAAAGCAATCACACTTGTGGTTTTCAACAAGTCGAAAATATCACTTTTTACCAAAAATTACAAAAATATTCACCAAAATTAGAAAATTAAAGATATCAAGAAATGAACAAATCTGAAAGAGGTCTACCTGTAGTACCTATATATATAATATCAAAGCAATCAGACTTGTGGTTTTCAACAAGAAGTCAAAAATATAACTTTTTACCAAAAATTACAAAAATATTCACCAAAATTAGAGAATTAAAGATATCATCACAAAATGAACAAATCTGAGAGGGGTCCACATGTAGTACCTATATATGTAATATCAAAGCAATTGGACTTGCGGTTTTTAACAAGAAGTTGAAAATATCACTTTTTACCAAAAATTACAAAAATATTTACGAAAATTAGAGAATTGAAGATATCATCACAAAATGAACAAATCTGAGAAAAGTCCACATGTAGTACCTATATATGTAATATCAAAGCAATCAGACTTTATTTTATTTAAACTTTCAAGATCGATGCATCAGTATGCAATTGTGTCAAATTATAAAGTGTTGGTTTCATGTTTTCACGCAGACATCTCCATTTAAACCAAAGTAGCACATTTTCACTGATAGATCCAAAAAAAAACTTTTTTGTATTTTGTATTTGATTGACATTATTCTGCCATTTTGCAAATTAGGTATTTTCACTAAGGCATTATCTGATTTGTTGAAAAATCATAGAATATTGCATTTGTTGTATTTGATTCATGGAGACAAAGTGATTGATCTTATACATGCATCAGACATGAACTACATGTACATTGTTATACACATATATAATGGAACACGTTATTGTCAATGACATATTCCCTGTTTGTATTTGTACATTATAGACATATAAAAGGGAATATCGATTCGCCAAAACAAAGAGTGACAGAGAGACGAGTGACATGTTGAACTTTTGGTTTTCTTTTCCATAAAAATGCTAGTCAGACAGTTAATGGTCAGCAAAGCGAAAAAAACTAAATGTACAAACTTCGGAAAAAATCTTTTCAGGCATGGCCAAGAGATATTATTGAGTAAACAAACACACAACAAACGAAACTCAAACCATTTAAGTCACCAATTAGAAGAAAGTGTAGTGTTGTAAATATTCACCTCTGATGCGAGAAACCTTCTATAGTACGTCAAACACGTAGCATATGATCTGGTACCTTGTATATCAGTGAGCACCAACGTGTGGATTTTATCTTCACCTGGTGACTGTCTGGCATACCCACCATCTGCAAAAAAACCAGAGAACTAAGATGTAACCAGAATTTAACAAATATGTCAGTTTCTTCATACTTTAAATGACAGGCAATATATAAAAAAAAACTGTGGGTTTATTTGGGAGATTCAGAAATAATGAGTGTAACAACCAAACAGGAAAAAAAACGAGACACTTGAACAACTCGGACAAATATTAGATTCTTCACTTTTAATTTTCACTGAAGACATTACTGTATGATTGATACAGCCTAAATGTTAAGTAACTGCACATTAAAGAGAGCAGATCCTCTGGCAACCATCAAATTCTGATTGACCAGGGATCACATGTGGCAACAGCCTTCAACTGTGACCTGGCTGATAGTAATTTTGGCTCCAAGGAAGCCATAGAATGCTCCATTTTAACTTAAATTATCAAAAACACTACACCCTGGTACTAGTATGGAAAACCCTATCTCCCCAACTTGGTGGCGCGCTGAATTGCAGTGCTCCCTCTTGTAGTTTTTTTAATATACTGCCTCTAATAGGGGTGGCTATAATGTCCCCTGGAATATACATGACATACCTGGTAAACATAAAGGCATCAGTCCTGTCAATACTTCGTTACCAATAGGTAACTCTAGACTCTGTTGGTTATTACTAGTTGTAGCATTAGCCATTGATAACTGCGGGACCAGGGAAATCCGTCTCCTTGACATTCTCCTCGACACTGATCTATTTAAAGTTCTATTTGTTTTTATAGTACGTGATCCCATTGTTGCATATCCGCCAAACTCAGGCTCAAGATTCTCGACACCTCCCGCTTGAGGGAACGTGGCAACCTTCCCGGACAATGCTGCTAGTATGTGAGAGTCAAATGCCTTCCTATACAGCACTGATGTCCCGCCAAGTACAATGTCGGGCTAGAATAGAATACACACAAGTGACATTGTATTTATAAAAATGCCACATGTATATTATAATACAATCATATGTTAAAAGAAAAATATATTATAACTTATATTATTATTATTATTATAGCTTTGATTAAAATCTTAATATCCATAGCAGAACAGAAGAGAAAAAATAAATAAATGCAAAAGTTAGTACAGCTGATTTTTCAAGTGCTGGAAAAGTGCTGACTTCCAACACTGGATAATGTGGAATGCATCATTATAACATACTTTAAGAGCATACATGTTTGTGCACCACAATTGACAGCAATAAAAAATTGGAACAAAACAATTTCACACGATAACTGCATTTGACAAATCTACGTAACAGGCTATTAGCTCTCGTGCAGAACGACTGTCTCTGGTTGTCAATATCCATATTGTCATTTAAATACGTAGTCAATACGTGACCGAGGTAAGTAAAGTTCCCAACAATGTCAATACCATATATAGTAATTGCAGGTAAAGTGTCAAGTTTAAGACGTTCTGAAAAGTGCATACATTTTGTTTTTGTAAGAGTATATTCAATATCATGATGGATCGCATAGATTTCACAAACATGTACAAGTTTTCTCAAACCCTTGATAGATCACAGACATATCATCAGCATATAATATATTAGTAATTGTCAATGACATAGTCCCTGTTTTATAGGAACGAGATATATAACCTGATGTGTAATATATTTGTGAAGTTTTAACTTGATTGGTCCAGGCATGTATAAGATACGGCTCTGTAGAACTGCATTTGTTTAAACAAGATGGCCACCAGTCAGCCATTAATTTGTCTGATATGTCTGATTCATGTGTGAAGTCTGAACTTGATCAATCCAGCCATATGTTGAATATATGAATCCGAACTGGATACTAAACAAAATAGCCACCAGTATGTTATTTTATACCTGATCTGAAAATAAAATGGAGTTCATCAAGGTCCCATTATGTTCAACATATGTACAAAGATTTAACTGAATCTGTTCATGGTAGACTGAGAATCGATTCCAGAATGGTGAAAATGTGTGATTTTGATACCCGTTTTACTTTAAAATGGCGACCAATTCAGAATCGAGTCATGAAACAAATGCATGTACATATGTCCGATATAATTAAGCAATAACCCCCGCCGAAGGCGGGTATACCA